TGAGCCAAACGGTGCTCAAGGACCAAATTGAGTAAACAGTGACACTCAATCCCGACCAAATGCGCAGAAATTGTCCCCAAAGAGTGAAGACTGGATGGAGAATGCAAAAAAATTGGCAAAAGTTATGTGAAGATGCGGCCAGTGTGGATTGAACACACGACCTTCAGATTAAGTGATTGAAGTTAACTTCAGTCTGACGCTCTCCCAACTGAGCTATGTCCGCCACGATCGTCCATGATGCTTCCACCTCTTTATTGTGCTAAGTATGTAGCGCGCCAGCCCCCAAGCGACAAAGTTGAATCTCCCGTTTCGCTGATGTTGAAGAAATCGCGGAAGATTCTTGCAATAAGAGGTCTCAATCGCCATTCAATTCAGCAAGATGACCAACTCAAACAACCAAAGAGTTGCAAGTTGCCCTGTCACCTCTGTAGCCAATTCGAGTCATATAGGCGCCCCACCGCTTAGTGACACGCTCGCGGAAACGATCACTAGGATAATGTTGTTGAGAGTCATAACTTTATTAGAATTTTCTGCGGTAAAGATAGAACTAGGTTGCACGGATAGTCTCAACAGATCCGGATTTTTTACGAGTTCCCGATAATCTAAAAGTGCTCGACCCAAAGAGCATCTGATCCGCCGACTATCGGGTGATTTCGTACTTCAACCGCCATGCCTCCGTGTTCGTAGGACAATTGAGCCCGCCGGAATCTGACATGCTTGTCAACATGTAGTTTCAAGATGCACGAGAGGATCGTGATCCTGCACATGTTACAAATCAACTCACCACCAGGAACGGCAAACCTGCCATCCGCTCATCCCAAGCCTCGAGAAATAAAGGTGACTCAGCCAAACAATCTTCGGTTAGACTCGGTCGGCGCACGATAGCTCGCAGTCGTTCCGCCCTTCACTACGCTTTAAATTCCGCTAGACCCGTCCTCTGTACATAGTCCGCGCCCTGCGGACAACATGCAGGAGTATCAAGCGGGTGCTTCAGCGGGTCACCTGCGGGCTAACACTCCGATGGGCCCATGCTCCGGGATGCGGAGGTGGACGCGGCTCGGCTTCCGCTCTTGTTTGGACTTAATCTTTTGTCTTGCATGGGGTTGATAGATAAACCATCAACCATTTGTGAGTCAATGGCATCTTGAGGTACGACTCACATTCGAGAGCAATATTGGTATAAATCACATTGAATAGGACATTGTCAAAAACTCAATTAATTCAGAACATCTTCATCTTTGTTCAATTCGTTCTCATTCATTGAGAGGCTTATCATTGGAAAACTTTCGGCATCGCATTACCGATACATCATCACCGACAATACCATCTCCACTCCCCATCCAGAACCTCATTCATCATGGGTGAGCTCGCCGAAGAAACAAGCAAGCTCCAACTCGGCTCCGTACCGTTTGGCAAGCAGATGTTGAAAGAATTTCTCCATGACCCAGCTTATCACAACATGAACAATGGTATGGCATCCCCAACTCAACCGCATTTCATTCCCCGTTCACTAACATAATAAACAGGCTCATTCGGTACTATCCCACGCCACATCCAAAAAGTCCTCCGTTCCTACCAAGACGAAACCGAGGCCCGCCCAGACCCCTTCATCCGCTGGACCTACCACGACCACCTCCGCGAATCCCGCAAAGCCGTAGCAGAAATCATAAAGACCCCGCTCGACAGCACATTCTTCGTCCCCAACGCCACGACGGGCGTCAACACGGTCCTCCGCAACCTGTCCTGGGAGGCCGACGGCCTCGACGAGATCCTCTACTTCTCCACAATCTACGGCGGCTGTGCAAAGACGATCGACTACATCGTCGACACCCGCTACGGCCGCGTCTCGGAGCGCGGCATCCCGTTGACGTACCCGATGGAAGATGCCGACGTCGTAGCCCTCTTCCGCTCCGTCGTCGCACAATCCCGCGCCGAGGGCAAACGCCCCAAAATCTGCCTCTTCGACGTCGTCACCAGCTTGCCGGGAATCTGCTTTCCCTGGGTCGCCATGACGGCCGCCTGCCGCGAGTTGGGGGTAATGAGCCTCGTTGACGGCGCGCAGGGGATCGGGATGGTGCACCTCGACGTCGCAGCCGCCGACCCGGACTTCTTCGTGTCCAACTGCCACAAGTGGCTGCACGTCCCGCGCGGGTGCGCCGTCTTCTACGTGCCGGAGCGGAACCAGCACCTCGTGGCGTCGACGGTGCCGACGTCGCACGGGTATGTGCCGCGGTCCGGGCAGGTTCGGTACAACCCGCTGCCGAAGAGCAAGGACTCGCAGTTTGTGACGAATTTCGGGTTCAACGGGACGTTTGATAACAGCCCGAACATGTGTGTCAAACACTCGATTGAGTGGCGGAAGAGCCTTGGTGGAGAGGACAAGATTCTCGATTACCTCCAGACACTGGCCAAGAACGGCGGCAAGAAGATTGCTGCGATCCTCGGGACGTTTATTCTGGACAACAAGACGGAGACGTTGACAAAGTGCGCCATGGTCAACGTTGCGTTGCCGATGGTGAGCGGTCCTGATGCGGAGTCTGTCTCGGTGGGTTCTGATGGCACGGTCACCGTTCCCGAGACGGAATCTGCAGCTGTGGGCGCCTGGCTTGTATCCAAGTTGATGGGTGAATACCAGACCTTCCTGCCTATTTACAGGCACGATGGTCGTTGGTGGGTCAGGGTGAGTGCGCAGATTTTCCTCGACGAGTCCGACTTTGAGTGGACCGGCAACATGTTGAAGAGTCTGTGTGAGCGCGTGGGCAAACAAGAGTACAAGACGGAGGAAAGCAAGTAGAGTGAAGGGACGCGGGGACGTTGAAGGAAAAAAATGTTTTTATATCACAATGCCATTCATTTACTATGCCGGCTAGAGAGCTCAGAGGATATCTAAGCTAGAATGAGGTTCACCATGTAATCCTGCAAAACATCCCTCAGGGGAATATAAGACAAAAAAAAGATCTCTCTGTAGTCGATCGTCTCAGAAGACGCCCATGACCATGGCGATTAACACGGCTTGGAGGACGACCATTAACCCTCCCTTGGCAGCCGTCAACCTCTCACTACCGGACGTCGAGCCGGCGTTGTTGTTCATGTTGTTCTCCCTGGACATCAAAAAAAGTGAATCCTAATGCCAAAAGAAGTAAAGTGTATTCACACGTGTGTCAATGCTTACGCCGCTGCGCCAGCGCCAGTCGCGGGTGCTGCCGCCTGTTGGCTGTTGACGACGTGCTCGGCCATGCCGAGGGACATGTTTCCACCGTTGAAGGCAACGAATTGCGACTTGAACATGATGTCTCCGTAGATCTGAAGCTTGGAGGTGGTTGCCTGGAGGCCACCGAAGCAGGCTGGATGGTGTTAGTTGATGTTTGGAAAGGGTAATGGTGCAATGTGTAACTTACTCTGAGCGTCAACCTGGGCAAAGTTGATGTCGGCACCCTTGACACGGGCCATGTAGACACCGCCGATATCCATCATAAGATCGGGAAGCTGGGCGTTGCAGGGGAAGGTGATGCCGCCGACCTGCTGGTCCTGCTTGGCACCCTGGACCTGCTGGTAGTAGGCCTGGACCATGGGAGGGTTGGCGAGGATGAGGGTGGTACCGGTGTCGGCAATGGCCTGAGCACCGGCGGTGCCCTGCTGGACCTGACCGCCGGCAACCTGGAACTTTTCACTGCTGAACTGCCAGAAACCGCTGGTGGTGTTGACGGGGATCCAGGCCATCTGGCCGGTGAACTTGGAGCTGTCGATGCGGCCAAACTCGTAGGCGCCGACGGTCTTCTTGCGGAGATCGGCAGTGAAGACGGGCTCGGCAAGGCTGGGCATGACGTTGTCGAAGAAGGTCTTCTGGGCCGTGGGCTTGACGGTGTTCAGCTTGGAGAAAGCAAGACCGAGAAGACCATTGTTGGCGGTGTCCTGGACGAACTGCTGGGAGACGGCGGTGGCCATCTCGACTGCCTGCTCCTGAACGACGGCGCCACCAATGTCGACGACGTCGGTTCCGACGACACCCTGAGCTCCGGAGCCATCACCGTAGCGGATGGAGAACTGCTGTCCAGAGAGCATCTTGGCGTTCGTGCTCTTGGTAGGGTCGTACAGCTGGTGACCGGTCTGGGACGTGGCGTCGAGCATGGAGGTGAAGACCCACAGATCGGAAGAACCACTGTCAAAGTCGACGTTGACAGTCTGGCCACCAATCTTGATGGGCGAAACGTACTCGACGTCGTTGCGGATCGGGGTGGCGGTGACGAGACCGGTTCCGGGTTGTCCAGCGGCGGCGGTCTGGTTTGTGGCGCCAGCGGCGAGAGACTTAAAGCCCTCGGCCTTGACGGGCTCGGGACTGGGGTTCTGGGCCGCCATGGCGTCCATGGCATCCTGCAGGCCCTGCGGGATGGGCATGCTGTACTTGCGGTACGCCTTGATCAACTGTCTCGGACCATTGTGACCGGCGAAGTTGTCGTTGGGCACTCTGGGGACGAGGAAGTGTCCTCGCTTTTGGATATTAGCGCGCTTCTCGACCGGAGAGGCATCGGCAAAGGTCGACAGGAGGCCGTAAAGGACCAGCGACCGCAATGAAGTTGACTCCATGTTGATTGTGATGTAAAAAGGACGTCCGTCACCAGGTAGACAACTCTATGAACAGAGAGGATATAAAAACAGGCCACACCAGGCGGCTCTTTTGCTTGTTAATGAAAAGGACGAGGAGCTGTCACCAGGGAGCCCTCAAAAGTGTAAAATGGAGAATTAAACAAGAGTCGTCGTGAATGAACGGAACTGGTGACGGGGGCGGAAGAAAGGAATAGAGGATGACCAAGAAGAGAAGAGTAACCCAGGTCGGAAAAGAAGAAGAAGAAGGTGGTGGACAAGGCCGAGTTAATGTTCAAAGTAGGAAAGTCAAGAGATGGCGACTGGTCCGGCTCAGAGAGCGAGGATTATACATGTTGCAAAAAATGGGACGACGACGTCGTGCGCTTGTTGCTTGGAGGCTCCAGGCGAGCCAAGTCTCAAGTTGTGATGCCCTGGTCACAGATTGTCCCGCTCAGCAAGGGGGCGTGCGCGTCCATGTCAAGCCGGGCCAACCCTGTGATGGGCGGATCTGGCGTCGAACCGGTCGAACCACTGCAGAGGTTCTGACTGAGAGCGAAGGCGAGGAGGAGAAGGAGGGCGAAGCCTGAAGGAGGAGGACCAGGGGAGGGTGTGTGCGCTTCCGCCTGGGATCGGGGTTCCCTCCCGTCAGTCAGGACCCAAGACATGAGTTGCGGCAACGAGGTGGATCTGGTAGCATGTTTGGAATTCTGCGAATACGTCGAGGAGAAGATCGGTCACAAGCAGGGGAGTCCCCTTACCCCACAGTCGACAAGGCCGTGATCCAGAGCAGGGATATCGGTCGATCGGTGCCGGGAGGCTAGCGCAGGGGAGGGGGGAGGGGGGCAAGGGGAAGGGGGAATGCTGAGCTGTGGGTGGATGGTGTGCATCTGTCTCTGCGTGGCGGCTCTGACCTTTCCCATGCTCACTTTCTGTTCGCAACTATGCAGAAGCCCGTTGAGGTAGGTCTGAGTGAGAGCCAAGAAATATCGTGCTTCGGATGTAAAGTCTCATGAGCCATGGAAACTGGCGAGCCGTTGATCTGAGGTCTCAATTAGCTTATTTCGACCCATTTAAGCGTGGTTGATTTGGCAGGTTGACAATGCGATGTGATCCCGGTCCCTCTCTCTAATCACAATAGACAAGCAGTAGCAACACCACCACCATCTCAGTCTGGTATAGCACATGTACGTTTGGCGCCCGGCAGCGAAGAGAAAAGCAGAGACGGTAAGACGGAGGGCGCTGTCAGATCTCCCCTAGCGCCGACACTCTTTCTCTGCCACAACTTACAAGGCTTAAGTGCCGTAGGCTACTGCAAGAAAGACACAAGCTCGCCGCAGCCAAGCGTATGCTAGTCGTCGGGCGATGTTCTCGGGACCAGCTAGCCGGGCCGTTGCATTTAGACCAGTCCTGGTGCAGATGGCCAGACAAGTTGTTCGTCACCCCCTTCTCCACTGGACGGCGATGGTGAGCCGAACTTGGTTCCGTTGGTCCAGAAGTCTAGGTCAAGTAAGCGTGGCTAAGCATTTAGACGACGTAGCAGGTAGATGTGGTGGCCCACGCATGTTCCCCACAGGCCTTATTCCAATTATCAAGTTGGATGCTGGATGCTGGATGCCGGCAAGCTGTCGAGTTGGGGCGGCTTCTCATCAGACAAAACACTGACAAAGAGGATGGCGGATATCCGACGATGGGTCAGAGAAAGAGCAGTAAAGTCAAGCAGCCAGCCTCAGGCGAGGACTGAGTAGGGTATGGACTGGATGCTGCTGCTGCTGCTGCTATTCTTGGCCTCAAGCGTCAAACGGGTAACCCTTCCACGCCCTCGAGAACGAACCGGGTGTCTAGCCCTACCTAGTCGGTTGGAAACGAAAGGCAAAAAACCAGAGAGGGAGTTTTCTTTGACCGACAGGAAGAAAACAGCATCATCCCCTCTTGGTAATTCAACATCAAGGGGGGAGGGGTTTCTCTCGCAGGGGAGGGGGGATCGAGCGCGGGAGAGCGGCGAAGGATGGGCGAGCGAGCATTCGACGGTGCATTCGAAAGAGAAAGGAGGAGGACAGTATCCCGGGTGAATCTCGTCATTGGACCCCTCTGGTAAGTCAGCGTTCGCAGTTGTTTCCGCTTGGCGTTTCAGCGATCCCCATGGTTGCTCTCCCGTCGCTAGCTAAGCCTCGCGGCGCTTGGCGCAGTAGCGATGTGTCTGCAATGTGACTGCTGGGCAAAGCAAGACTTTTTGCCAAGGGCGATCTGGTCCACGGCCTCCATGGCCTCCATGTTGCGGCCTGCTTAGCGAGCTAAGCTTTGAGATGTTGCGGAAGAGGGATACCGAACATAATTAGGTCGAGGGCCTCTTCCCTATCGGATGAAGGAGAAACAAGTGCCATTGCTGAAGCCAAAACTGTCATTGTTTGCGGACCTCGGACACGCCCCGGGGATAGGCAGGCACAGGCACAGGCACAGGCACAGTCGCTGTCAGACCGTCAGGTAGACGATAGTCCGCATTTCTTAGTCTATCATTCTCGCGTGTGAGTGTGGTACCTAGACAGACAGCTGACTGACGGAGCAGCCTCCCGCCGCATAGCTTGGAACGAGCTCCCGTTCGACTAGGCCTCATCTCCCTTGATTGGATTCTAGTTTCTTTCTGACCATGGTCTCTGCGAAGAAACAACCCCTTGGCCTTGCGATGACTTAGTTCAGGAGAAGGCGGTTTGGGGTTTGGGATCTTTGAAAACGCCGGCGAAAAGACAGGGCAATATCGGCAAGGTCGCTGACGTATCCACGGGTAAACGGCGTGGTCAACATCGTTTCTGACCAACGCGTAGTCCGGGTTGGAGTCAGCGAAGAGAGACAACGGAGACAACGAGGCCCAATCGGTCGATGGTGGCCAGAGTTGTCCAGGCCAGACCAAGTTTCTCTCGGCGGCTGTTGATGCTGGCTGGCAAGCTGTAGCCATGTTGCCAGCCAGGCAAGGAGGCTGCAAGAGACTCTCGAGAGAAGACAACGAATGATGATGGGCGGACTCGGAGAAGCCCCAGTGCCCCCCAACCCCCTCCCCTCTCTCGAGTCTCAACTTCTCGTGAAGGCTCCCTCATTCTCCTGGGGGTCCTCGTGGATGGACGTTGAGTCCAGTCTTTCTGTCGAGTGAGTGGACAGGCTGACAGGGCCTGAAACGGTCCACTGAAGATTCTGAGACAGAGTTGTGCGGCGGGATCCCAGCAGTAAAACTCCGAGCGGCCAAATGTTCCGAGCGGCCCATGTGCCCCGGGCGTAGCGAGGGGTCCATATACTGTCGGGTAGGTAGCGTCAAGTAGTATAGCGCTTGACGCAAGGTTGCAAGGTACGGGTACACTACTTCGTACGTGCAGCAGCAGGTGTAAGTACTCGCAGCGTATCATTTGGCATGTTATTGTTAGTGTGGCGGCGAGCCGGTGAGAGCTCTCAATGTCGACGTCCATCCATCCTCCACCACCACCACACCATCCCAAAGGGCAACAAGGACATGGCTTGAGCTGGAGGCCTTATGAGAGAGTAAGTCGACCTTAGTGGCTCCTGAAAAGGCGAGGTGTCGGTGTCGCAGAACATGAGGCCTCGTTGCACGATTTGCAATACTGTTTGTCCCGTAGAGAAACGAATGTGACGGCCTTGCTGGCGCTGAGCATCAAGTCATACCCGTAGATCCGTTTCCACTTCATGTTTTGCGACGACGGCTGACGCACTTCGCCTCGAATATTCGACGTTGCAGCCAGGCAGATCACCGCATCGTATTCCTCAGGGACCTTACCAGATGGACCCCGAGACCGAAGTGTGAAGAGGCGAGAGAAAGCTATGGGATCTATCCATCCCGGTAGCATATCATGTGCATCCATCCTATAAAGGCATTTGCTATGCGCTGAGTGTGCACAATTTGTGGAAGTGGCATGACGACCATAGGGCAAGACAGGCAAACTTGAACTTGGGCTCGAAGCTAGGCCGTTCAATTTGCGAGAAAACGGGATCCTGCCCTGCGGCCACTACAAAGATGAGATCAACTATAATCGGTCTGCTGCCGTGAGTCGAGAGTGGACTGCCCCCTAATGCCCATCATCTGAACCGGCGCAGGGCCACGGGAGACATGGAAGAAAGTTGTCATGTCGGAGGAAGCAACTCTAAAAGCCAACCTAAAGACCGGTTGGACAAATGTAGTCTCCGTAGATACCTTGAACTAGAAAAGGTTGCCCTTTTTACTCGGGTTTAGGCTCGGCGTAAAGATGGTTTGACGATAGTTAATGAACATGGGCGTGCCGTGCGGTGGTTGCGAGAGTAAATTGCCCGGTCTGAATGCGTACGGCTCAATTGGCAATCTCTGCATTGATTGCTGCCATCAAACGTCGAAAAGTCTACGAGACGGGCGACTCGGACACCGTCCTTGGCGACTTGGCAAGGTGAGTAACTTTGAGGGTGGTGTAATCACCGGTATATAGAGGTGGCAGAGTCGGGTGGTTCAGAGTCAGCCAGAGTCAGCAACTCGCAGTACACACGGGTTGTTAGCTATTGTCCGGGGCCACCACATCCGCTTACACCATCTTTCGTGTTCGGGAGTACCGCAGTAGCAATGATGGGTGCGCCCATTGCAGCCCGAGGATCTAGAGGTCATTGTCTGAAGTAGAGGGGAACATGTGAGGCGGAGATGAAGATGAAGATTTTGAGATGTGTTGGTATTTGACGTGATGACGGCACGCTCGCGATGAGGTCAGAGCCTTGGTTGAGGAGTCGAACAAGCCTGAACCAACGAGTCGGAAATCTAATTTCAAGGTACTTTACAGACCATCTCGGGGATTGCGATCCATTTCGATACACTGGTCAGGGGAGCGTAGGCATAAGAAAGCTTGATCTTGCATATGTTGGCTAAATAAAGTGGGAGGGAGTGAAGAAACGGGCTTGCAGGACCGCCCACGTTAAGGCGCAAAGTATGTCTGAATAGAGCTTTTGGGAGGGGGGGAAATAAACGTACTGCGTAAAGAACAGACACGGCGACTCCATTAGACAAGCTTGGAGGATCCATCACCTGCGAAGAAGTCTTGGTGTTTCTGCCAAGCCGGATGATGGCCGTGGCGGTGGTGGAGGCTTGCCGTTTGAACTGGGGAAGATGAGCAGAGAACAAGTTTTCTGCCTTAAAGACAAGGCTGGAGGAGAGGAAAGCAACGCTACGCCAAGATGGGCAGAATGACTAAGCGCAAGCTAACCTGGGAAGACGCATGCCCCCACGTGATCTAACATGGTCCGTGCAGAAGCTGAGGTGGAGGCTAAAGTCCGGCTGGCACGGGAACGGAAGATCATGACCATCCACGTGCTGCCGTGACTAATCAATCGGGAACCGCGTTTACTTTGGAGAGGAACCACCCGTGGGCACCTGGCTGGCTGTCTGGAACTGTCTGGACCCCGACTCCGTCCCTCCGGCCCCTCTGAGCATAATCTCTAGCAGCTAGTCCTGAAGTAGACTAGTGCAAAGGGATGAGTCTGGTCCGGTCCAATACCGGGGGACTCTCGTGGCTGCTGTCACCATTGGTAAAGGCACCGTACCGTACCACTCCCGGCTGCCGTCTGCGAGAGGAGAACGTGACTTTGCGCCCGACTCGCTCCCAACTAACCAAGTCACTTACTATCTATCAATGCCCCGCTTCAACTCTTTTCTCCGTTGAACTGTTGCTCTGATTATCCGTACAAAGTACGGAGTACCTTACCGTCTACGTCTGCGTCTGTGGATGGTTTCTGTATCTCGCCGGGTTCGTTCGTTCACGATTCAGCTCCAGCCGCCAGCCAGCCTCGTGCATTTACCGCAAAGAGGTGAGCGCAGCCGCAGACCCGTACGGATACCCGCCCTCCACCGCGCTCCAGGCTCCGCGACTCGCTCTCTCCTAGCTTCCTAGCTTCCTAGAGTCCCGGACTCTCCCAGAGTCTTGCTCCCACGTTCCAACGCACGTAACAACCTGGAACGGGGAACGAACCCACCGCCCACGCCTACGGCAGAGGCTGACAGAGACCAAAGTCACCAGACAGTTGGTTCTTCCCCACGCCCAACCCAACGTTCGTTCGCTTCCCACTCCCGTGCAACGCAAACTCGACGAACCTCCGGCTGGGTCTCTCTCTCTCTCACACTCGGTCACACGCCCACCCGACAACTCTCACCCAACCAAACCAAACCAAACCAAACCTACCTACCACCAAACCCGCCCGCACCGCACCGCACCGTACCGCTGCGCTACACGCCCCCCAATCCATCCGTCCATCCATTCATCCAAGGACCTTTGCGCGCGCCCTCTGTCTACTCCGTACTAATTTTTTTTTTTTTTGCTGCTCCCCTCCCCTCGCCACCGTCAGATCCAAACATCACGGCCCTGGCTGCCCGTTCCATCTCCGAACCCGGCCCATATTGGATCGCGACTTCCGTATACGAAAAGTAGGGGTCCAAGACATTACCGCCGCATAACGACCCTTATTGCCGCCACTAACCATCACCACCACCACCACCACCGCCCATCTGTCCCCAACTGTCTGCCTGCCCCCCCCTTCGACGCTTCGACGCTTGGGGGATACCCTTATCCTCCTTCGTCCTGCTCGGCCACTACCATCCCTCCCCCTCCGCTCTTCCCTCTCCGTCCTCTAACCTCCCCGTTCCGTCTGCTCTCGTCGTCGACAAAAGGACTCAATGTCAGACGATGAGTTCGGCGGCCCGGATGGCCCACCCGGCAGCGCCGGCGGAGACCGCGACAAGCGTGCACCGCGCTTCAGCTGGACGCCCGCCTACGAGGCCACCTTCTTCCGATCCCTTTGCGACTCGGTCCAGCTAGGCTTGCGCGAGAACCACTCCTTCAAGGCCGACGCCTGGGATCGCGCCGCCACCGCTCTTCGCGAGAAGCACGGCGCATATCCCACAAAGAGCCATCTCGTTAATAAGTCGGATAATGCGCGTAAGAAATTTCGTCTCTGGCGCGGCCTTCGCGAGGACCCCGAGTTCCTCTACAACCCGACCACCCGTACCGTCACCGCGTCCGAGGAGGCCTGGAAAGCGCATATCGAGGTATGTTGGTGAAGA